GGGCGGCACTTTCAGGGCTCCCCCCCACATTTATAGGGTTTAGGGTGTTCCCTATGCAACAACTACTTCGGAAAGCTTTTCATTATCCAGAAATACCTCCTACGTCCTAAACCCTGAAACCTTCCAACCCCTGAACCCATAACCATGGCTGCCCTAGCTTCTGCAATCCCCCTATAGACCTATAAGAACAATAGCATGTTGAAATAACTCCTCAGGGTTTAGGGTTTAGGGGTTCTACTAAAACAAAAATGAGAAATAATTCCTGAGGATACTACTGGCTAGAACCTCCAAGCAGGAATCCCAGGCACCAGAGGCCGGTGGTCCGATCCGCACGCTCCGAGGCAATAAGTCCGGCCTCCTCAAAATATGCAATGCTGGGTTTATAGTTTCGGGTTTCGGGTTTAGCGGTTTAGTTTAGGGTGTAGGCTTCAGGGTTTAAGGCTTCAGGGGCCAAAATAAATACCACTAGTGGAGAATCAAATGAACAAGAACATGGAACATGAAGTGGAAACTGGCCATATAGGGGATATTGGGGCCTAAATGATTACCCAAATCCTATTGAGGTCCTTTTGAGGCATTCTATACCACACTTATGAATCTAGAACCATGAGGTTCGTTGCTGTAGCCCATAAAGCTGGGTTTACAGGTAGATTTCAGACCCTCGGCCCTAAACCCTAAACCCCACAACCCTAACACGTGCTCCTCCTTGGCTTCATTTTCAATCACCACTGTCACCTCGGTCTGCATTCTTTCGGGTTTGGGGTCTAGGGCTTAGGGTTTAGGGCTTAAGGTTTAGGGTTAGGAACCCTAAACCCTAAACCCCTAAACCGTTGAGGGTCTAGGGTTTAGGGCTTAATTTAGGGATCCAAGCCTAGGAAATATACCTACTTCGGGCCCGAAAGTCTACAAATAAGTTAAACTTTGGGTCCTAGAGTCCATAGAATAGAACCCTCTTTGGGCTCTTTGGATCCCTAGGGCTTTTGTTCCAACATGTTCTTTGCACCAGTATACTCAAACCCCTACCTGCAAACTCTGGAGGGTCCTGAAGGGAGACAGGGTTCTAGGACCCTTTTTTGAGTACATGGCTCAGGGATGCCATCGTGTTGAAGGTATGTGAATTCACCATGGCGGTTTCTTAGAACCCCGAACAAATCTTAAGTCATCACAAGCTTTGCTGTCAATGTGTCTTCTTTTTGTGCGCTTTTTTCAGAAATCCCAACCTGCGCACAAGAGGAAGCAAACTTTTCTGGAAAAATACGGGGACTTGTCAACTTGTATCCGCATTCCTTAAGACGCCACCAAAAGGATGCAGATTCGGCCGCCAATTCCCTTGACCCGAACCCCTAAACTATCCAAAAACGAAAAGCCTGCTGGAGAAGAAATCCAATGGCAGGGGCCCCCTGCCAGAACAAGTGGTATCCGGGCACCCTCAGTAGGTGCCTTGGCTGCGGCCAGCAGCCAGGATTGAAGGGTAAAGAAGTTGGTGCTTGGGATCTGTAAGTTTCTCATTAACATATTACAGCCCTTCAAAAACAAAACATTGTGCACACTGTGAAAGCTCAAGGACAGCATTGAATCTGGTAATTTCAGGAGTCTTAATTCTTAGATCCTTTACAGCGTTGAGTTGTGAGGCGGTCTCCTGTGGACTTGAGGGAGTTCGGCTGCACAGCACCGGAAATCGATTGGAGCGCAAACTCCTTATTGAGTCCAAGCATCGTGACGCCCTTGCGAGTGGTCTCTACCTGGTGGCGTGATAGTCTCTCACAATCGCAGGTCCCTCTTGGAGCCACCGCGACATCCGCAAAGTATTGGGGAGGTGGAGAAAATCGCAAGCTTTCTGAGCAAAAGAGCCACCTCTTGCTAGCCACACTGAACCCCTCGTGCCCAAAAGATTTGCAGGAATAAACAAGAATTGGACCCTTCCTCAACCCCACTCAGAAGGACTGTCGTCTTTGCAGACGTGATGTTGAGGTTCCAGGTTTGTTTGGAGAGAGTAGAAATGGTGCTGCGGAACCAACTACTGTCTACTCATCACACATTCGCCAAGGTATACATAACATCGTGGTTCAGGTTTCTCTAAAGCTGCCTCTGACTCTTCCGACAACATCAAAAAATCATCGACTAGAGCTTGAGCTTCCCTCAGAGAGCGATAACCGAATTCTGGAGGTTTCAGAGCAAAGTTGAACCCATGACTGTGCTAGTATAGTGCAGCCAAACGCTCAAGTAGGTACCTGAACCCCAAAAGTATGTAGAATAATGGCCCTTTGGGCTGTATTTTGGTATTTGGGGCTATTATTTTACCTACTTTTGGGATTTAGGTAAATGGTTGCCTTATAAGTGATCGAAAATGGTTGTATTAGTGAAAGTATTTCATGGTCATTAGCCCCTTAACCCCAAACCCCCGCGAGAGACCTCTACAGTCCTCTGGCCTATCAACTCCTTCTCAGGTGTGTCCTTAAAGACCCCACAAATACTAAAAGGATCTAAAGGTAATCTCAACCCCTGACCTAAGGACCCTATGACTATCACAGGAGCTATAGTCCAAACTCCTAGTATCCCATTACCCCTGTAATACTCCGGTATATAGCCCCCTTTAAGAAGTTCAGACTATAGCGTACATGACTGTCAGACTGTTAGGGGTCCATGTCATCAGGCTTGGGTTGCCAACATCATGGCATTCATGTCTTGATTGAACTGTCTACAACCAACTGCGTTTGAATTCTACTCGTAGTTGGGCTTTCCAGTGCTACGCACAAAACATCGCAAAAGATCCCCCCCTGCAAAAAGGCTGCCAATTAAGTTACTAGGTCTGGGAACCTGGAAGGTCTTCAGAAACCCTGGCGCTGCATGTAGCGCTGCACCTGCATCCCTTCCAAATCCCCCCTGAACTCCTGTACCATACACTGCGACCTATACTATACTGTGCTACACTGTTCAAGACTATGCCCTACCTGAGACTGTACTCTACACTCTACCATAGAGAAAGCTGCGCTGTGTACTTCAGAGTTTCAAACCCACATGCACGCCTCCCATTTGCCCTCCCTGTCCGGCGAGTCAGATGTGATGGTCCCCACGGCCCCGTCGTATTTCTCGGGCTCTGCATTTGCAGGTTCCGCCTCCGCACAGCATCTTACGTACTGGTGCCTCGTAGGGAACTATAAGGCATGGGATGCCGGGGCCACTTCGCGAATTCTACCTGGATCCATTCCTACATTCCCTACTGAGCGCCAGTAAACGTGGAGCTTATGTGTTGGGCTGTAGCGTTGCTACGCTAAGCGCTTAGGATTTCCGCACTGCTTCGAATGGCCTCTTGCTTTGGGACTCATATGCAAGGGAACGCTCTCTCAAGCTTTTATATAAAAAAGTCACATGCCGCCCGCGAACGCATGAATAAGACCATGATTCCGAATCGTGGTCTACGAGGGTTGGTTGGGAGATGCTGAACCCAATAGTATGCACTTAGCCCTGGGGATCCAAGTATGCAAATAATACCCACATTGGGCCCTAAAGTATATAGATATTACCTACATTGGGCTATTTGGATCTCTAGGGTAGCCCCTACCAGAATCTATATGTAAGCCATTTGGGCCGAAATTAGATATTGTAAGCAGAGTCATATTATGGTCATCATGAGTATCATTACTGCTACTATCACCATGACTATTTGACTGCTTCTGCTTTCATTCATATTTATACTTTACATATACTACGGCACATCATATGCATTTCCGGGTAAGCGACCCTAAATCCTAAATCCTTGAACTTAAGCCTAAAACCCTAAACCCTAATCCCTAAACCCTATATAATCCCTGGTATAAACCCTAAACCCTATATGATACCCTAAGCCGACCCTTTGGGTAGAATGCCGAATCTGCAGCCACCTCCTGGACCTTGGCAGCTGAGGCTTTGGGCAGTCGCCTCGCGGGTTTTGGTGCTTCCTCCTGTCGAATGCTAACCTGGGAGTTTCTCAAAGCGAGGAAAACCCTATGGGGGCCCAGGGGTACGTAGAGTATAATATAGGGTTATTTAGGGTTATATAGGGTAGTATAAGGGTAGAATATAGGGTTCTATAAGGGTTATAGAGGATTCATCGGGGGGCGAAATATTGCAGAGGATGATTTTGAGAAATACGAACCTCAGCGCAGAGCCCAGAATCGGTTCAGTGGCACAATTACGGTTCAGCCTTCAGGGAAGGTGCGGGCTTTGGGTGTGAAAAGGCTTAGGGGATCAGTGTTTAGGGTTCAAGGGTTTGAGAGGGCTAAGGGGAGTTTAAGGTTCAAAGGTTTGGGGGGGTTCGGGGGTTTAGAGTGCAAAAATCAGTTTTGGCATTGCGCTAAGAATGACATTGCCGAACTTAAGTCAGAGGGACTGGCAAACACGAAGCTGAAGGGCATCTAAGGGCCATGAGACTTGCAAAATGTTTCTGAGACAACTGATACTGTAAGTAGTACACTGTAGCACGACATGGACTACGTACAAGGAAGCAGTCTTGTTGAATGTACAAGCCCGAAACGGATGTCGGAAAAAAAAAAAAAAAAAAA